TGTGTGCAAAGGTGCAAGCGTGTGACCAGCCATACCGAATGACAGTCCTCAATCCATAAATGTTTCCACTTGTGTGCACACGGAGCCTCAGGAGTTTCAGTTTTTTTAAACCCATTAGTGCTGGTAGCGGACATAAAAAACATTAGCAATGGACAGCACCTAACAGCCCCTGGCGTATTGACCAGACTGGTAATGTCTCAGCTATCCCTTGTAAATGGGACACAGCCCTCACACTCTGCAAACTGTGCATTTTGAGCATTTTTCTTTTCTTTTTTTTTTGCACAATATGGAGAATATTTATTTCAGACCCGGGCAGTGAAAAGAGTTCTCCATGCTGTTGTCAGACTCAAAAAAAAAAAAAAAAGAACGATTAGCTGGTGTGCGTAGCGAACTCTTTGGCTGACTACGGAAGTTTTTCATCTTTTCATTTCATGTGCCTCCAAACGTTTCACTCAGCTTTGCTCGGCACAGGAGTGCTGACTCACTATTACCCCGCACGGAGGCTGGCTACATTGAGTAAAAGGCCTGTTCTCGTGGCGGAGGTCCCAGATCAGAAAATGATAAAAATGTCAGGCTTTTTTTTTTTTAAATAAGCACATCATATTTCATTAAGAAGTTGCTTGTAAAATGCAGTGCTCATCATGAATATCTGATGGGACGGTCTAGCAACATTTCTCTTTCTCTGGGTGGGAATTCTGTAAGCCTTCCTAGTGTACATGGGGTTCTTTTTTGACAGTCAAATGTAAGACCGTGGTGAACCACTGTAAGGATAATCTCAGACCTTCCCTTTGGAATTCATTCCTTTATATCAGTGGTTTTCAACCTGTGGTCCTTGGACCCCTGGCTGTCTGCAGACTCTGTCTAAGATTTCCAAAGGGGTCTGAACCTTCATTTGAAAATTTTTAGGGGTCCACAAATGAACAAAGGTTGAACACCACTGCTTTATACCATTGACTTATTCAGTGTTCAGGTTATTAATAATAATACTTTACATCGTGTTACTTCCATCTAAGGATCTCAGATCACTTTACAAACATTAGAGACTGTCAACTTGAATTGTATTTCGGCGCTAATTTTTAAAAATTCCACTTTGACAGATCCCTCTTTAACATGCCCTGAATTTTTTTTAATTCCTTGAAAAAGAAATTGATAAAGGTTTTGCTGCTTCACTATTAATGTTTATAAGGGTCTTCTCCAGGAAGGAGAGAGAGTATACAAAGGCAACAGTGACACTGAAGCTTATGCTCTAATAAATTTGTTAGTCTCTAAGGTGCCACAAGTACTCCTGTTCTTTTTAGTGACTATATGCAAAGTGATGTCAAATGCAAGAAATGAACAAACTGGGGTAAAGATATTGAACAACAATTATTTGTCTAACTTCTTTCAATAATAGCCAATTTAAGTGTTACTTTTAACTATCAAATGTACAGTATTTTACGGATGTGATTTTCAAGCCTGTGGTGTCCCTTTAAGGGCCACATTGTGAATCCCTTTGTGAATAGTTATACAAGCCGACCCAATGAAAGTTACTAGAACTATACCAATTTACACCAGCTGAGCATCTGGCCTATGACTCCAAGCTATTACTGCATTAAACCTCTTGGGTTTAAGCAAAGCCTCAATTTTCTTGGGTTCTTTGTAATAATTACTTCTCCATAGTTCAGCAAGGCTATTAGTGTTATAACTTCTCATTCTTGCCTGAGCTCTGCTTCACCTTTTGTTCTGCTAGCATTGTTAATGGAACTTTTCTAGGTTCCCGCATTACTGCATGGGTATTCTTTTGCAATTATATGTAGTAATCCCCCAGGACCTGAGAAAACTTGTTGATTCTCTTTTACAATAGTGTTTTTGTCAAGCTCTTTTTTCCCCCCTTTTGTTACTTTAATTATGCTCATTTCTTTGCTTGTTTGGTAACTTAGTACCCCACAGGGTAGCAGCATCTATGACATAAGTGTCTATGGGGCATGGCTTCTTTGTAATTTACCAAGAATTCACATCTATTGGTGGTTTGACAGAACTGCTCTCTCTAGATAGCCTTCTATTGTGCAATAGGATTTTATTCCATTTAGTTTGCATGAACTCTGTTACCACTGGGCAGTTTGCTTGAGCCTGTTTTAAAATGACACACGTGGCCTTCTGTCATTTGTAATTTTACAAATACTTACCCCTGATATTTAAAGGACATGACTTCTGCAACAAACAACATCATTTTCTCCTTCGCTGTTCCCGGTACACCCTGCCAGTATGGTATGGCTTATTTAACCCTTTGTGTTGTAGCTCATCTTGGCTGGCAAAGCAGCTTCTCTTGCCACAAGGCTAATGGGGTGTTGTATGCCCTACATCCAGCATCTTGTCCAGTCTGCAGTTCTGATTTTTCTGACTGGTACCACAGCAGTTCTGATCGTGCCACTGAAGGCTTTTGCTTTGCAGAAGAATAGTTCTTTGGAGTTGTGTGTTCTCACAGCATCATTTTTAATTGTGTTGCCATAGCATCTAGGATCCCCAGCCATGGACCGGGACCCCATTGTGCTAGGTGCTGTACAAACACAGAATAAAATGATGGCCTCCTTCCCCAAAGAGCTTACAAATCTGATTTGCCTGCTAGTATTTGCATGTCTTGAAGTTCTATTTAGAACAGTCCAGATCTAAAATTTCCACTAGATGCATTTTCCTTGTACCTCTTCACACTGTATTTTGCCATCACTAGAATTTGGTCTTATCAAGTGTCAGAACAGCAATCTGTCTAACATGAGTGACCCACAGTTCCTCTCACCCTGGCAACTTGTATGTAATGCTTTCCAGTGGCAAGGTGGCTTGAAGTATTTTCCAGAATGCACAAATAATTGAACAGGGTCTAATTTGTCTGCTTCTGACATGTTCTCACTGGCTAATCCATGTGTTGAGTACACAGTATTATCAATTTCATGCAGTTGGAAATCATGAGTCAGGACCTAAAAAAATTATGATACTGGCTTACAAATCATGGTATTTGAAATAATACATTGGGGTTAGTTTTATTTGTGTTCTGGTGTTTGAACCGTTAGGATTCAAACTTTCAAGTGTTTCTCGGAAACCACAAAGGCTAGAAACTTGCTTTTTAAAAAATGCAAGCTGAGATGCTCACAAAGCCATGTGATTCCAGTGGACAGGGCTTTAAGAAAAATACCAACTGATGTGTCACTCACAATGGAAACACCTATAGATCAGTGTGACAGTTTGCCCACTCCCTCCCCTCTGTCCCCCGAATGCCACCAGATGAGCTGGGATGGTACTGAGTCAGCCTATTCTGCCAGCCTGGGTTCCCTTTACCTGGTCTTGCTGGGCTCGGCTCACAAGCATCTTCCAGCCAAGCTCACGGGCAGGGCCGCACCCAGCTGCACAGAGAGACCGAGATCTGCTCTGGAAAGATTCAGCCTTAGGGGCTTGCCTCAGCACTCTGGTGCCCAGTCCCTTTAAGGGGTACAAACCCAAAGGTTTTATGAAATTCGCCCCTTCCCTCAATGTGAAGGGAGATATGCACAACTTTTTTCTAACCCCCACCCCTCCGCAGTTAGAAATTACATAAACTGGGTTATATTATAAACAGGAAATAAGTTTATTAACTACAAAAGGTGAATTTTAAGTGGTAAAGAGGTAGCAAACAGAACAAAGCAGATTACCAAGCAAATAAAACAAAGCACACAAACTAAGCTTGATTCACTAAAGAAATTGGTTACAAATAGTAATTCCTCACCCTAGATATTGTCTTAGGTAGATTCCTTCACAGGCCAGATCTCTTTCCAGACTGGGACAAGCAGTTCTCTTCCCCCCCCCCCAGTTCCAGTCCTTTTGTTTCCAGATGTTTTCAAGTATCTCTTTGGGTGGGGAGACTGCGGAGAAAGGAACTGAAGACGTTGATTGTTTTCCTCACCCACCTTATGTAGGATTTCCATAAGGCAGGAATCCTTTGTTTGATTCCCCCACCTCCCAGTGGAAAAGTTCAGCAGTCCAAGATTGAGTTAAGACAGTGCCGTTAGAGAACAGGACCCAGGCCTTCCATGATGCCCGAGCTCGAAAGATAGAGAAATATGCTCCTCTGGCTGAAACCTTGAGAACTAAGGGTTAGCAGGTCTAGACACACGCATTGATCGTTGGAGCCTTAGGCACATGGGATCCCAGTAATGAGAGAGTGCTGAGAGAATGCAGAATCGGTCAACGCTACGCTCAGCTGATGCGGCAACTCATGGTGTTGGACGCCATCAGGTGGTCGAGGGACATCTACATAGAACACATCACTGGACATAGGCAATACCAGGAGGGATGAGCTGGAGTGCCGACGAGAAGCGCAGTCAGGAAAGTAACTGAAATACTTTCCTCATGGATTGTATTTTCTAAATAGACAACCAACCTAATTCTCAATTATTGAGGGACGATCTCCACTCACTGATATATTTTGCTTTCCACAACCAAATCTCTGTACAACTTTTCATGAGTGATATACCCAAGTATTCAGATTCTAATATCTAAACTGTATTGTTAAATCTATTCACCTAAATTTGGGTTATTGCTGATTATGTACTCTATGTATCATATGACTTTTAAAAACTAACTTTATATTTGTGGATAATCTAAGTACAGTACCCAGATGTACAGACACTCTTTTCCCAAACTATGCATATATATAATTTTTTTAACATTAGCTTTAATAATTTTTTTATATCAGGTGACCAGGTCACCTGACTCTAGTATCACAGCGTCCATGAGTCAGAGGCAGTATGGAGATATGGAGAGTCCATAGGAAGGCCAAGCTTTTTCAAAGTCCATTGTCCTCACTGATGGGCCATCAGCCCTGTCTGGCTTTTCCATTGTTGTACCTGAAGTGTTGGCAGTGGGCGTCACCCAAAGTAGCATATTTGATATACAGATACATGGTCAATATTCCTAACTTCAGATACAGAAATGATACAGGCATAGAGATCGGGTAATCACATTCAGTAAATTATATCCTTTCCAATGATATCTTACAAGACCCATCTAGCATAAAGTATATCTCAGTTATATCATATGCATATGATAAGCATATTTTCAGAAAGAGTATGGAGTGCAACGTCACAATCGGTGCAAAGAAAAGTGACTAGTTCTTTATCATTTTGAGGCTGCTAGACATCCCAATACTAATCACAAACGTTTCTGCCATCAGCCCAGCTTCCTTCTGACTTCACATATGAATGTCGTAGCAGTGATCCAAAATAAATATCACACAGGGTTTAAGTTCTTCCCCACAATGCCCAGGAAGCTGTTGTCCCCAGTTTGCAAAGAGCTAGAGAAGCTCGCCAGGATCTGAAACACAATCTCCTCACTTAAAATATATCAAAATGGTCATACTTGTTCCTGCCTCAGCATGGCTTCCTCAGTCTTTATTTTCTCTCTGTATTTCAGAGGAGCCAGGTCGGTGCGAGTGCCGTATTCACTAACATTAGCCCAACACTGGGGCACAGCTCCAACCATCATTCAGTGCGGTATGGTCGGAGTGACTAGAAGCCTCCCCTTCAGGAAAGACTCAGAACTAGAATAGCAAGACTAAGGTGCATTGGTAGAACAGTGCCAGGCCCAGGATTTGAACTGGCAGAGAATTCTGTGGGCCAGGATAGGTGTGAATTGACAGAGCTGTGAGGGAGCCCAGGAGTGAATTGAGGGACATGCTGCAAAGCTGTGAGAGTAATTTAGGACTGGGATAGCAGAGGCAGGAGGGTTTTGTGGAGCTGTGGGTCAGGACTGAAGTGCGCTAGCAGAGCTCTGTGGGGAGGCTAGGACTAGAATAACAAGAGCTGCTGCTGGTCAGGGTAGAGGTGAATTGTCAGGGCTGTTGGGAACTCAATGGGAACAGCAGAGGTACAGCAGAACTGAAGTGTGTTAGCAGAGCTGTACAGCCAGGGACCCACAGCCGGAGGAGGTTGCTGCAGGTTTACAGTGAGGTGTATTTGACAAAGTTGTGTGGGAAAAAAAACAACAACACCTGCCCCCAATAGCCCAGCTCCAGCTTGTTCTACAGCCCTGTCACTTCCCTGTGTACTGCAAGTGTCACTCTAGAATGATACTTGGGGGAAAAGGAAAGGGGAGTGAAAGGCCGACATTCCAGAATGATGACTATTCCTTTCCAATGGTCCTTTATATGCTCAGCAGTCAGAGCTGGGTCTGCAGCTTTGCTGCGGGCATGTGAGAACTGTACTGGGGATGCCAGTTTTGGCAAAGCAGCCAGCAGTTTATGACGAGAACAAGGGGCAGAGCCAAAAAATTCCTCCCCCCAAAATCCCTCCCACGCATGAACTGAACTGTAAGGAAATAGAATAATGGCAAAGGTCAGCCCCCAGCAACATTTGGCTCTCTCCGCGGTAGTACAAGGGACTAGCAGCCCAACCATGAGCCCAGCCTTTGGTACCTGGTGTGGTATGAAGGGCAGCATGAGCCAAACCAGCTAACTCAGACTTCTGGGAAGCCTCTCCACTGTCCACACCCCAAGTCAATATGTTCTCTTTCCTCCACACATTCTAGGCCCCTGGATGAAGGCCTTGCTTGGCAACAGATGCCTAGAAGAAGTGCATGACATATTAAGCATTACGTAGGCATGTGATCCTAAGTCCCTGGCAGTGTGCCAGCGGAGTCATATTCCCATTGCATTCCTTGGACATCTCCCAGATGCTGGTCTGAGAAAGTCACTCACCCAGTATGGCTTCATTGTTCTGGCTGGGGCGTCTCAATACAGCAGGATCTGATTGACCATTGAGTGTGCATTTGTATGTCTCCTCGAAGAGAACAGAGGAGATGGAAGTTCTGTGGACAGTGCGTATCCCCATTAAACTCTCCCAGCTGCTGCATCTCTGAGAGCAGCTGGGGGTGGGGCCTTTCCAGGTGTGTTGTGTAATCATTTCTCCAGCAAGGCCTTCCAGTGGGAGATTGGGGAATGATCTTGTCGCAGTTGAGTGTTTCTCTAATGCTGGGGGGCGGAAGGACCATCTGAGAGGCTGGTGCAGGGGAGCTCTTCAGCATGAGCCTAGCTGCACTGGGTATACCTGAAAGGCAAGTACAGCACTGTGAGAAGCAGGCTGCACCCTCTAGAGGCCTGTGTAATTGCAAAAGCAGGTGTATCCACTTCAGACAGCATCCTTTCTTCCTTCCTTAAAAGTAATACTCACAATGGGAAGCCTGGCTAGAGGTGAACATCCCCACACCAGGATACATCTCTGCTATATTGAGAAGAGCAGGGATTTTTTTGCATCTTTATCAACAGACCACTGTGGGTTTCCAATGTAGTCTATACCTCCCGTTTTTGCCTCAATGCAATCCACATATTTTTCTCCCTAGGAATCTGGGCTGCTGAAAGAAGAATTTCATTCTCCAGCTGTATTTTCAGTCAGTCCCCGCCTCCCTTGATTCCCAGGACACCTATTCAAATAGAAAATGATCTTGCATGGATTCTGGGATGGCGCCATTGCACAGAGCTGGTGCTTTGCTGGTAAAGTTGAAGAATTCTCATCACAATTAGAATGAGCAGGAATGAAATCTCCTGCCTCCTCTGGGGGCAGAGGGGAAAGAAAGCTGCACCCGCCAGCTCATCCCCAGAGTGGGTCGTGTGGCAGAGAGGTGGGCATGGCTCGGGTGCCCAGAGAGGAAATTGTTTCAGTGCTTCCCTAGGTAGCCTCTGCTGTCGGGGATCCCACGGAACTTCAGTCATTACAAAGGTACCAGGTAGCAGCGCTGCAGTTAAGGTTGCATGCCACAATGAGTTTAAGAAAGGAGGCATAAATTCCTAGTGTGTAAGCACATTGGCTTACACACAGGTTTAGCTGTTATGCCCTTTGCATTTTCTGTGTCTTTTTTGTTTAGTTTCTCGTCATACATTTTTAATAGAAAGCTTTTACAATTGGGCTCCTGTTGAAGTTTATCCTTGGCAGTCCTGCTTTGCACTGATGACCGAGATCTTGTTAAGAACTTTGTCTTATGTAAGCATAAATTGGAAGAGATATGGATCGTGACTAGATGCGGTGCAACGGGTAGGTTATTTAGCTTGGGCAGCCGTTAATTTGGATTTATGGTCATTTTTAGCTTGTATTCATCATACCATACTATTTATCTAGCTACTTTTATGGTCCCTATCACCATAGTGTCTGAGCATCAGTATTGACTTTGGCTAGGGAAAGGGGAAGGGTTTGCCCATTCCAACATTACTGCACTTTTATGAGTTATTAATAAAACTGGATTCTGGTTTCTCATTTGTCTAATACTACTAAGCTGTTCAGAGCCTTAGGAGTAGCAGAATGAAGGGGGTAAAGTCCAATAACATTCAAACTACAGTAGTAGCTGTGACTTCACCCTTTCTTTAAATATAACAGGTGTTGCAAATATAGATAGTATGTGACATACCTGGGACTCACACGCACAAAACAGGTCCATTTTAATATTATAAAATGGTTTGATATCACATGACACTCAAGTATAATAAAATACAATATATCCCTATGATAAAACTCCTGCTTAACCTCAGTTACTGATACTACACATTCAAGGAACTCCATGCCAACTCTGAAGGCTATGCAGAGATTGTCTCAAGTCTACTACAAACTGCAGATTGGAAAAGTTGTCAAAGTACGGGGCCTGTTTCTTCAATACATTAAGGCAAAAAGAGTGGGTGAGAATGAACCATAGGGAACAAAATAAAGAATTACCAGTGAGTCAATCCATGGATATGAGACGGAGTTTAGGACATATACCGCAATATTTGGAATTTGATTAAGGACTTTTATTTGATGGGGTGTATTCCTTGTGGGATTGAAGTAACGCTTCAGAGCAAGCAGCATTTAAAATACAGGCACAGTGTTTGTGAAAAACATTCAGCTGGTGGGAAAAGAGATGTTACAGTAAAATGTATACAAAGAATATGTATGTATTCAGCATTATACATATAACATCCAGAATACTACACTGAAAGAACATTAAGGTTGCAAAGTCAAGCACGCAGACGTTAGGAAATGCCAGAATAAGTTGCCTGTGCAATGATCACATGCTATTTTTCCATAGGACTTCTGCCTCATTCAATGAATGGATAGCTATTCAATGTCTCCCTTTCAACCTCCTCATTCAATGTGTGGCCACAGGCCTATTTTCCACACCTCATTCAAACCCTGCACTGAAAACAGAATTATTAAACGTTCTCATGAGCATTTCTATGGTGCTGTCACAGTAAATCTATGTTTGTGAAAAAATTGGCTAATTTATCTTCGCAACACACCTATAAGATTAGGTGGTGTTGCTACACCCTGTTACAGCTGGGAAATAGAGCCACAGAGAGATTGAGGTCAAAACTGTCAAAACTGCCCACTAATTTGGAGTCCCCAATTTGAGATGTTTGGGCCTGGTTTTCTAGAGTACCTAGCGTTTTTATAGCATTTTATATGTTCCAAGTATGTCTCCCGTTGACTTCAGTTACAGCTGAGAAGGCTCAACAGTTCCGCAAGCCTGGCCGTAGGTGTCTTACACTGAAATCCAGAAAATGAACACAAAGCTAATGGCCAGCTGTGAAAAGTCTGGTTCGGGTGAATCGCCCAGCATTACACAGGGACTCTTTGGCAAAAGCAGGTATAGAATCCAGTTCTCTAGAGTAACATTCAGCTGACTTAACCATGCGCCCTTCCTTTCTCTTCCTGCAGTCCCCTGTGCCTCAGTCAATACACACCTTCCAACCAAGAGGTTTCCCCCCAAGACCTCTCTGAGCTGCCGGTCTTCTACCATGATCTCCTCAGGACCTGAAAGCTAGTTTCAGTGACCAGGTCCCTAGCAGTTCCTGAGGGGGAGAGCCTCTTAACCGAACCCTTGCTACACAATCTCCATCAGTGTATGAAGGTGGAGGAGTCCCCCTTAGTGTGCTGCAGGTTGGTCTGGCCGTCACCACCAGAGTCAGAGACTTCCTGGACTATAATTGGGGGGACTGGGTGAACCCTGTGACACTTAGCCTGAGCACAGGGCTGTACATCCCGTATGTCCCCGGTAATGTGCCCAGGAGGTGAGGACAACCTTGCATCCTGCTTAACTGGCCTTCTTTGGGCTGGTCCTGCAGTAGGGTGCTCCCCATCCACTTCTCACCCCAGGCCCTCCAGAACTTGTCATCGGTCCCCTGCCCTGTAAGCCTCTCTGGCTGCCCACAACGGGCAACCTAACTTGGCTGAATTACATCCAGCAAGTCTGCCTCCAAACTACATCCAGGAAACATCTGTATGTGCTCATCCTTCATACCATCCACTTCCTCACCCTGGTGTCTCAACTCAACACCAAGTGGTAGGACCTATTGCCACCTGCAGAGGTGAGGAACCTCAGTGAGCTAGTCTGTACTTCACTCTGGTCCCACGGCCCACTGAGGATATCAGCTGGCAGCTCCTTCATGGAGCCATAAGCACGGGCGTGTAGTTGGAACGGTTCATGAACTCCCCTGACACTTGTCCTTTCTGCAGTGAGAGGGAGACCCTGGCACACATCGATGTGGGGAGTGTGTCAGGTTGTAGCCCCTCTTCCAGTTTCTCCAGAACATCCTATTTAGGTGCTGTTCACACTTCTTCCCACACTTCCTGATCCACTCACATCCCATCTGTGGCCCCACAAAAGTTGTGAGACCTCCTTGTCACCTCCTTTTGGTGCTAGCCAAGACCGTATCCATCACACCAAGAGGAAGAAGCTGAGCAGTGGGGGTGCGCTGTGACTGTGGGGCCTATTTCTATTCCATTGTTCAATCACATCTCTGAGCAGAGTTCCTCTCAGCTGTATCCCCTGACTCTCTAGACACCTTTGACGGGCAGTGGGCACTGTTCAGGGATCTCTGCTCAGTGTCCCCTTCTGGCTGTCTTATCTTCAACCTTTACTCCCCTTTTTGTTTTCTCCTTCATTGTCCCTAGCAATCAATTGTGGCTGGGGCTTAGGGGTTCCTCCCCCTTAGTTGAGGGGAAAGGCCTTTAGTTATGCTTGGGCCTAGACATACTTATCCAAGTACTATAAATAGCACACCCCTTCCAATTTCTGCAACACACAAGATAGGAGTCCTACAGACGATAGCCTTCTTCACTGCACAGCCCTGATTCATTCCCAGAGGGGGCCTGCCCTCCACTGAATGAGGCAGGGGTCCTGTAGAAAATATAGTTTATGTTAATGTAACTAAAGATGGTGTCATAATGCACACACACATGGGAGCTGAATTAATGTTGAATGGGGGGCGGGGGGAGAAATCGCACTTTTGGCATTTTCTACATCACTTTGCAATCTTAATATTCCTTTAATGTAGCTTTTTCATATGTTCTTCCTTAAGTTTTGTCAAAAGCAAACTGGAAAAAAAAACTGTATAATGTAGAAACATATTGACCGTATCATGGGTCATCAGCAGGACTGAAACCATTAGATCCACAGCATAGACCTCTGCCCCTGAAGCTAACAAAGTAACTGATAGCAGTAGAAGGTTGTTATTCTCTATTTGTACAGACAACCTTAATTATTGCATTTCCTTACTGTTCAGTGCTAAACTTTGCAAACTTAACATTCATTTAGCATAGGAAATTACATAAAAAACTAATTAAAAATGAAAAAAATAGAAATTCCATCATATTGACCCCCAACTGGAGTCATCAATAAGTCCCTTAGAGCCACAGTACAGATCTGTGCCTCTTAAGATAATTGAGTAACTAGTAGCAGTAAGGTGAAGAAGGGACTGTGAGACTGCCAGTGGATTTCACAGCTATTTGCTGACAGCACAGGCATATGGAAACTAAGGACCCATGAATTCAATTCCAGATCCTATAAAGGAGTATGCTCTAGTGATCATAAATCATTCTGCCCCTGTGCCCCTAGCCAGTCTGTTCCTCCTTCTCCTATAGACCCCAACTCCTGCCTCCTCCTCCCCCTCCTCTCCACTATCCAGATCATTTTAAAGGATCCTTAGTGTAAAGGAGACTGAGATCCCATCTGTGTGTGTTGTGACAGACCCAGACCAGTGGGGTACAGGAGTCTGGTAGAGGGCAAATATACTGGTCACTGG